CAACCGGAGCCTGAGAAGGAGCCAGAATTTACCATTGTACATTGCCAAAGAGCCACAGGAATACGGCAGCCGCCCCTCCATCAGCTCCCCCGCCCCCCGGCTCCTCGCCAAGTCCTGGCGGGTGGATCCCGTTGGCAGCCTGTGGCCACTGGCTGAGCTCCTTTAGCTAGTCGTACCACTGCGCAGCGGGGAGAGATCGGCGTCGATCCCGATCCACTCAGGGAGGAAGGCGGCCGCAGGTTTGAAGAGCTTGAGGAAGGGGGAATCGGGGAGGGTGTAGTTGGCCAAGTAGATGGTCTTCCCCCCAGCCAGGTAACTGGCCCAGATGCCGAAGGTCCCGATGGTCATGATCGTGTGGTTGCAATGGACCAAAAGAGCAAAATAGCACCCCGGGGTCTGATCCTTTCAGTACTGCAGGACATGCAGGCCACCCCGCGAGGCGTCGATGTTCTCCCGGCACCACTCCATCCCGTTGCTGGTCACCACGAAGACCGGCTCCTGGTACTTGGCCCGGAAGTAGCCCATGGCCTTCTCCAGGTAGGCCTGGTCCGCCAGCACCCCCTTCCAGTGCTCGGCCATCTCCTGGATGTAATCCCCCCTCCGGACGTGGACGCCCACGTAGGTCACGTTCCGGCGCTGCCCGCGCAGCCCGGCCAGGTACCGGTTGGCCTCCTCCTTGACGTGGTCGTGGAAGGAGAATTCCTGGAGGATCTCCTGCCGGAGGTGGTGGTAGAAGGTCCAGGAGCAGGGGTAGCCCGTCAGCCGGACGTATTTCCCCTCGATGTGCCCGTACTCCTCCGACATCCAGTCGTGGAGCTCATAGTCCTTCCATGGGACGCTCTGGACCATGTCGCCGGGGATCACGGGCAGGGTGATGCGGAAGAGCGGCGCCAGCTGCCAGTGCATCTCGGGGAGGATGTAGGCCTGGCGCCCGTTCATCTTGGCCAGGGCGTAGAGGGTGGCGTATTCCCCCATCTGGTTCCCCAGGCGCCCGGCGGAGTTCACGGTCCACATGCCCCGCTCTGTTGGGGGGGTTGTGGCGGGAGGCGTGGCTGGGAACCCCTTCATTGTATTCGGGGAGGGGAGCCTCTGCCATGCGGCGGGGAACCGGCTGCTTACGTGGATGAGGAAGGAGAAGGTCATGATGGCCAGCAGGCAGACGGTCACCTTGAGGAGCGTCCGGAAGGGGACCCAGGAGCCCGGGGCAGTCATGGCTCCCAGCGATGATGAGGGAAGGAGATCCCAGCCTGGGGGAGGGGGGTGAATAGAAGGGAAAGTGTGGGGGGGGAACAGGGGAGGGAGGAAAGGGGGGGATGGATAGGCGGGTGGTTAGAGGAGAAGGGGGAGAGGCTCTTCCTGGCCCAGGTACCTCTGTTCCCAAAAGGCCTCCGGCTGCCAGCAGAGCCCCACCCCTGAGCTGCCCCACCCCCAGCCCAGCCGAGGGGCCGGTGACCCCAGCTCCAGCAGGACGCGTGTTGTTGGGGGGAGCAGAGCCACTGCTTGATCCCGGATCGGCCCCTTCAGCCGCAATCCAGCCCAGGGGCAGGCGAGAACAGTCAGAGCAACAGTGTTTCCACCCCCTCCCCCCCGCCAGCTCTGCTGGTGCCCCTCCGGCCTGATCCGCAGCCTCCCCTGCTGAGAGAGAACCCAGGAGTCCTGGCTCCCCGCCCCCCCTGCTCTAACCACTAGACCCCACTCCCTTCCCAGAGCCAGGGAGAGAACCCAGGAGTCCTGGTGAGCTGTGGTGGGGAAGTGGGGGTCACTGGGGCAGAAGGGGGCTGTCATGGTCACAGAGCACACTGACTGCCAGGGGAGGGTGCCCCCTACCGAGCCCCCTGCCCCACTCCCTGCAACCCAGCGCCCCCTGGGGCCGGGGGGAGGGGGGACAACGACGTCCTCTGGTTACCTAGAATCGCTGAGTTTTACCCCTTGGCCCCCGCCCAGAACGTCAACAGCGTGGGGGGGCTCAGCCGGTACCCACAGGGTATCAGACTGGGGGAGGGGCACAGAGAGATGTGGCGTGGGGGGAATGGAAGGGTGGGGGGAGGGGATGGAGGGGGAAGGGACATGGGGGAGGGGATGCAGGGAGGGTGGACATGGAGGGGAGGGGAGGAAGAAATGGGGGAGGGGACGCAGGGAGGGGGAAATGGAGGGGGCGGGGAGGGGGATATCGGGAAGGTGACGCAGGGAGGGGGAAATGGAGGCAGAAGAGGAGGGAGGAAGTAGCCCCCAGCGGAGGAGTGCGGGGCAGGGTGGGAGGTTTCCGAGCCGAGGGGCAGGACAGGAGCGAAGCTGGGTTGGGCCGGGCCAGGCTGGGGAATCTGGGGTCCGAAGGGATCTGGGGGCCGAGCTGGAGTGACGCCCCCCTGCCCTCCCCCCTGGGCCTGTGGCCGAGGTCCCAGCCCTCGGTCTCTGGGCCCAGCTGCACCAGGCCTGTCGCCACCCCCGGACGGACGGTTTGGGGAAGTCGAGCCAGGCCAGCGTCAGCACCCCACGCCCCGGTCCCACAGCACTCAGAGCAGGGGGGGCTGGGAACCAGGACTCATGGGTTCTCACCCCGGCTCTGGCAATGGGGCGACTCCCCTTCAAAGCTGCCGGGCTCCAACCCTCCTCCCCCAGCTCTCGGGGCCCCGTCCCCATCCTCCCCCCACCCCCGTCTCTGTTCCCCGGGTCAGGTCGCCCGCTGCCGTGCGAGCGAGCTGCTCTGCAGGGGTGACATCCTGCCACAGCTTCCTGAGCCAGCGCCCGGGCCGGAGCTAGACGTGAGGAAGTGTCACCGCCGGTAGGGGAGGCGTTACTCACCCCCATTCGCCCGGGGGGGTGTTTCTTGATGCTTTTCGCAGCCCCGCTCAGTGCAGACAGGGGGCGTCCCTCGTCCCAACCTGGTCCTGGCACTTCCAGGTCCCCCGACCCTGAGTCGCACACGTGGGGACGCCCGGCTGACGCATTTCCTGTCTACAGCTGGCTTCCTCCGCCGGCTCCGGCGCGCCGGCTGCAGCCATTGGCCTCTCTCGGGCGAGTGGAGCTGGGACATGTCTGGCCGTAAAGAAGGGACCAAAAGACGCCTCGTTATCTCTGGTCTCGCGCCGCTTCACGGCCGGGGTTCGGGCTCCAGGTCCTGCCCCGGGCCCAGAGCTCCAGACTGGCTAGCGCTGCTGGCAGGGCTGGCCCCAGGGGGCGCTGGGCTGCGCGGAGCGGGGGGCGCTCTCCCCTGGGCACCAGAGCTGGGCTTTAGCGACTGGGGTGGGGGCGGGTCCTGTCCCTCTGACCTCATGACCTGAGCTGCCTGGTTCTCAACCCTCTCTGACCACAGGCCTCTCTCTGCCCCTACCTGGTGCTTACAAAGGGTCAGAGAAAACAGAAAACCAGGAATGACAGATCGGATTTGTCTAAGGGTTCGTCTACAGAGCGAAATTAATTCCAACTTATTCGATTCGAATTTTCGGAAGCGATTTGATACATTCGGGGTTGTGTCCCCCCCACTAAAGCGCGTGAATTCGGCGGAGTGAGTCCACAGCACCGAGGCTAGCATCGAAGGGCGGAGCGGTGCAGTGTGGGAAGCTATCCCACCGTTCCCACAGTCCCCGCCGCCCATTGGAATTCTGGGTTAAGCTCCCGGTGCTTGATGGGGCAAAAACATTCTCGCGGGTGTTTCTGGGTGTGTGTCGTCACTCGCTCTTCCCTCCATGAAAGCTACAGCAGACGCCAGGTGCTACCGCCTGTCTCTTGGTACTAAGAAAGACGGGAGGACCTGCGAGGTGGATTCACTCTACTCTTTTATCTAACCATTTCCCACCTTTTCTCAGCTACCGTGAACCGAACAGCACAGCTTCCGCCGCAAACTCTGCTCTCCCGCTCTTGCATCGCTAGCTAATTTCTCCATGTTGGAAGAGAGGAGACTAAGGGGGGATATGATAGAGGTCTATAAAATCATGAGTGATGTAGAGAAAGTGAATAAGGAAAAGTTATTTACTTGTTCCCATAATACAAGAATTAGGGGCCACCAAATGAAATTAATGGGCAGCAGGTTTAAAACAAATAAAAGGAAGTTCTTCTTCACACAGCACCCATTTAACCTGTGGAACTCCTTGCCTGAGGAGGTTGTGAAGGCTAGGACTATAACAGCGTTTAAAAGGGAACTGGATAAATTCACGGAGGTTAAGTCCGTTAATGGCTATTAGCCAGGCTGGGTAAGGAATGGTGTCCCTAGCCTCTGTTTGTCAGAGGGTGGAGATGGATGGCAGGAGAGAGATCACTTGATCATTGCCTGTTGGATTCATTCCCTGTGGGACACCTGGCATTGGCCACTGTTGGTAGACAGGACACTGGGCTAGATGGACTTTTGGTCTGACCCGGTATGGCCGTTCTTATGTTCTTATGTTGTCTGTCCTGGGCTCCCGTGGAAGTTACAGAAGGCAACAATTCCCCGCCGTTTTTCGGCCACTGTGAACTGAGCCGCACAGCTTCCGCCGCAAACTCTGCTCTCCCGCTCTTCCTGCCTCCGTGAAAGCTACAGAAGACAACCATTTCCCGTCTTTTATCGGCCATCTTGAACCGAACAGCTCTCCTCCGTTTCACGCCCTTTTTCCAGGATTAGCCGTGCAGGGGCCATAGCGCGGCAAGCATGGAGCCCGCTGCAGTTTTGACCAATGTAAATACCTCGCGCGTTATCCAGCAGTATGTGTAGTACCTGCAAAACCGAGCGAGGAAGCGACGACAGCGCGATGACTATACTGATGAGGACATGGACACAGACGTTCCTAGAAGCACGGCATGTGGCAACTGGGAGATCATGGTGTTAATGGGGCAGGTTCATGCCGTGGAACGCCGATTCTCAGCCCGGGAAACAAGCACAGACTGGTGGGACCGCATAGTGTGGCAGGTCTGGGATGATTCCCAGTGGCTGCGAAACTTTCGTAGGGCCACTTTCATGTAACTTTGTGACTTGCTGTCCCCTGCCCTGAAGCACAAAGACACCAAAATGAGAGCAGCCCTCACAGTTGAGAAGCGAGTGGCCATAGCCCTGTGGAAGCTTGCAACGCCCGACAGCTACGGGTCAGTCGGGAATCAGTTTGGAGTGGGCAAATCTACTGTAGGGACTGCTGTGATCCAGGTAGCCAACGCAATCACTGAGGTGCTGTTATCCAGGGTAGGGACTCTGGGAAAGGTGCGGTCCATTGTGGATGGCTTTAATGCGCTGGGGTTCCCTAACTGCGGCGGGGCGATAGACAGAACGCATATCCCTATCTTGGCCCCAGCACACCGGGGCGGCCAGTACGTAAACCACAAGGGGTACTTTTCCATGGTGCTGCAAGCACTGTTGGATCACAAGGGACATTTCACCGACGTCAACGTGGGATAGCCGGGAAAGGTGCATGATGCTCGCATCTTCAGGAACTCTGGTCTGTTTGAACAGCTGCAGGAAAGGACTTACTTCCCAGAACAGAAAATTACTGTTGGGGATGTTGAAATGCCTATAAAAAGAACCGGAGTACTTGTGGCACCTTGTAATTTTCCACTACATGCATCCGATGAAGTAGGCTGTAGCCCATGAAAGCTTATGCTCAAATAAATTTGTTAGTCTCTAAGGTGCCACAAGTACTCCTGTTCTTTTTGCGGATACAGACTAACACAGCTGCTACTCTGAAATGCCTATAGTTATCCTTGGGGACCCAGCTTACCCCTTAATGCCATGGCTCATGAAGCCGTACACAGACATCCTGGACAGTAGTAAGGAGCAGTTCAACTATAGGCTGAGCAAATGCAGAATAGTGGTTGAATGTGCTTTTGGACGTTTGAAAGCGCGCTGGCGCAGTTTACTGACTCGGTTGGATCTCAGCACAACCAATATTCCAATTGTAATTGCTGCTTGTTGTGTGCTCCACAATATCTGTGAGAGTAAGGGGGAGACGTTTATGGCGGGGTGGGAGGTTGAGGCAACTCGCTTGGCGGCCAATTTCGCACAGCCAGACAACAGGGTGATTAGAGGAGTGCAGTAGGGTGCGCTGCGCATCAGAGAAGCTTTGAAAGCCAGTTTCATGACTGGCCAGGGTACGGTGTGACAGTTGTGTTTGTTTCTCTTGAAGTTACTCGCCCCCTATATACATGAAAGGAAATAAAGTCAAAATTGTTTAAAAACCATTCTTTATTATTTGTTGCACAACACATTGAGAGAAATCAGAAGGTAGACCGGGGGGGAAAGTGTAGAAAATTGATAAGGGAAGCCACCGGACACAAGGAGAACTGTATGGCTACCAGACTTAAGGACAATAAGGAGCTTTTTAAAGTATCTTAGGAACAAAAAGAACCCTTCCAATGGTGTTGGTCCATTACTAGATGGAAATGGCAGAATTATCACTAGAAATGAAGAAAGGCAATAATTATGTCTGTTCTGTATCTGGGGGGAAAAGCAGCTGATGCAGTCTCATCAGATGGTGATGCCGTCACGGACTCACAGCTCGTGCCCACTCTTGGCCCCGTGCGGTCCGTGGGGGGGTGGCCCTTTCAGTGAGACAGCCCTTCTCGGGGGTCCACTCTCTCTCGAGGTTAAGCCCCTCCACCTCCTGGAGCCGCACCTCTCTGAGCCTTAGCATGTCTGTCTCTGCCGTGGGCCCCCTCAGAGAGTCCACTCGCTCCGGACCCCCGGGGCCTCCATCCCCCTGAAGGAGACAATACGCACACACACACACACACACACACCCGTCCTGTTCTCTAGACCGGAGCAACTCTCAGCCAGCGTAAAACAGGAGGGTTTATTGAGCATTGAACCCAGCACAGGAAACTCTCAGGGCCTCAGGCCTGGCCTCCCTCAGCCCAGCACATCCCAGTCTCTCTGCATCCAGGTGGGCTCTGCCTGCTCCCCCTCTCCAGCCCAGAGCCCCCCTGCTTCCCAGCTGGGCATCTGATACCCCCAGCCCCAAGCCCCGCCTCTGTCCATTGTCTTCTCTCCACGTAACCAGGGTTGCCTGGGCCTCCTCTCTCCTCTTCCGTCCTCTGGCCCCTCTGGCTGGAACCAGCTGGTCAGGTCACCGGGGTCCTCTCTCTGCAGCCCATTGTCCTCCCACTGGCCAGAACCGGCTGCAACTCCTGAGCTGGGTCTCCGGGTCGTCAGGTCACCAGTCACTGGGATCTCCATTCTTCACGCCAGTGGTTGGGGTCCCAAGTTCCCGCTCTGGTCCTCTGTAACAATAAACTCCCTCTCCCCTCCCCTCGTTAAACCAGTAACACCCAGGGACACTGAGTCCCACCCCCTTGGCATGCAAACCATTGGAAAAACACGGAAAAACCAAGAACCCCCCCCCCCCAGTTTGTCACAGGTGGGAAGGGGTGGAGTTGGGGGCAGGGCCCGTGGCAGAGCTCTGAGCACCTCCCGGCACATGGAAAGTTGGCGCCTGTCGCCCCAGCCCTGGAGTCGGTGTCTAGACAAGGAGCCGCCTATTAACCTCTGAAGAGCTGCAGGTGGCTCCGGAGCCCCGGTCTGGACCAATCTTGTACATACTTGGTGCTTTAGAAGGGCCAATTTCACAAAGCTGCAGACAATGATGAACCCCTGCTCTAACCACTAGACCCCACTTCGCTCCCAGAGCCGGGGATAAAGCCAGGAGTCCTGGCTCCCAGCCCCCCCCCCCGCTCTAACCACTAGACCCCACTCCGCTCCCAGAGCCGGGGATAAAGCCAGGAGTCCTGGCTCCCAGCCCTCCCCGCTCTAACCACTAGATCCCACTTCCATCCGCTCTAACCTCCCAGACCCGGTGACACCACACTCCGTATTCTTCATAGAACGTGTGTAACAATAGAATTATAGCATCACTGTGACATATTTTGTGCAAGACGAGGCATGTGAGGTATCAATAGAAAGGTGACGATTGGCTGAATGTGATTATGCTATTGGTGTGAACGTACCAGGCCTGAATATCAGGAATATCGACGCTGGACCAATGACCAGTGGGTTTCCCCCTGGGGAACGCCCAGCAGACAGCAGCCATCAGTCCGGCTGGGCCGTTGGGAAGAACAATACGTCCCTGAAGATGCTCCTCTCCCACCTGCCTGGGATGGGACAAAGCGTCTCTGTCTCCTGGCTGCTTTGATCACGTGATCCCGGCCCCTGGTTCCAGACTCCATGATGGAATACCAGGAGGGGCGGGGGACCACACTGGAAAAAAGGATTTCCCCCCCCCCACCACACCCCATGTGTCAATCCTATGTAAGGCAGGCGAGTGAGTTAGTCTTGGTTCATTCGTCACTGAATCCCCGCCCAGGCTGACTGCTGAGAACATCTAAGAAACAAAGACCAAGGTGGGGCGGAGGTCTGAGCCCGGGCTGGGAAAGGTGTCGGGCGTGTGACAGGAATACCTGGAGTTTTAAGCTGCAAGGAAGAGCAGTTTGCCTTCAAGAACCTCTGCAATCTGTCGAAGGCAACATTTCGGGGGAGAAATTCCTGCTTGTAACAATTTCTTCAGTTCTGTTTCTGTGTTGGTTTTATTTGCTACGTGATCTGCTTCCCTCTGTTGGCCAACCCTTATCATCACTTAAAATCTATCCTGTGTCGTTAATACACTTGTTTTTGCTTTTCCCTAAAACCAGCTTGTGGAATTCATAAGTGGGGTGTGTGTGTGTGTGGGGGGGGGCGAAATGCTGTGCGGATCTTCCTCCCCATTGCGGGAGGGGGCGGATTTCCGGAGCTTGCGCTGTGCAGGTCTCTGTGCAGCGCACAGCAACACAATTTGGGGCTTGCACCCCAGAGGGGGTGAGCACTGGGGTGCTGGGCTATTCCCTAGCTGAAGCCTTCCCACGCAGAGCTGATCCCCGTGTCTGTCTTTCTGCGGCTGGGCGTGTCCCTACCTGCGTGGGCTGGAGGAGGCTTGAGGGCCTGGCTCAACAGGACAGGGTGAGGGAGCCCAGGCTGGTGGAACAGGCGGGCTCAGTGGTACCCCAGTACATCAGGTGGCACCCCGCAGTGGGGGAGGCGACTCGTCACAGACCCCACTCACCTCCCAGAGCTGGACTCGAACCCAGGAGTCCTGGCTCCCAGCCCCCACTCCCCTCCGCTCTAACCATTCAACAGACGGAGACGGTCCCATCACTCAGGACACTCCTATGAGAAGTTGTCCGATGTAGGTCATTGGCTGCTCCGTGTGGGGCTCTGAATCCCGCCAGCCCAGCTCCAATCGCCCCCGATCTCCCCAGCGCAGCCCGCACCAGCCGGGGGGCCCAGGTGCCCAGTCCTCAGCCGACCAGCCAGGTCCTGGTGAGTGGATCCCACTGGCAGCCTGTGGCTGATTTAGCCAGAATTCCCGCTCCGCAGTGGGGAGAGATCGGCGTCAATCCCGATCCACTCGCGCAGGAAGGCGGCCGCAGGTTTGAAGAGCCGGAGGAAGGGGGAATCGGGGAGGGTGTAGTTGGCCAAGTAGATGGTCTCCCCACCGACCAGGTAACCGGCCCAGATGCCGAAGGTCCCGATGGTCATGATCGTGTGGTTGCAATGGGCCAAGAGAGCAAAGTCCCTCCCTGGTGACGACTCCTTCCCATCCCCCGAGAAATACACGTCCCCCCGCGAGGCGTCGATGTTCTCCCGGCACCACTCCATCCCGTTGCTGGTCACCACAAAGACTGGCTCCTGGTACTTGTCCCGGAAGTAGCCCATGGCCTTCTCCAGGTAGGCCTTGTCCGCCACCACCCCCTTCCAGACCTGGGGCATCACCCAGACGTAGTCCCCCCTTCGGACATGCACGCCCACGTAGGTCACGTTCCGGTGCTGCCCGCGCAGCCCGGCCAGGTACCGGTTGGCCTCCTCCTTGACGTGGTCGTGGAAGGAGAATTCCTGGAGGATCTCCTGCTGGAGGTGGTGGTAGAAGGTCCAGGAGCAGGGGTAGCCCGTCAGCCGGACGTATTTCCCCTCGATGTGCCTGTACTCCTCTGACATCCAGTCGTGGAGCTCATAGTCCTTCCACGGGACGCTCCGGACCATGTCGCTGGGGATCACGGGCAGGGTGATGCGGAAGAGCGGCGCCAGCTGTTGGTGCATCTCCGGGAGGATGTAGGCCTGGCGCCCGTTCATCTTGGCCAGGGCGTAGAGGGTGGCGTATTCCCCCATCTGGTTCCCCAGGCGCCCGGCGGAGTTCACGGTCCACATGCCCCGCTCTGTTGGGGGCGTTGTGGTGGGGGATGTGGCTGGGGACCCCTTCGTTGTGTTCGGGGAGGGGAGCCTCTGCTTTGTGGAGGGGAACCGGCTGCTTACGTGGATGAGGAAGGAGAAGGTCATGATGGCCAGCAGGTAGAGGGTCAGCTTGAGGAGCGTCCAGAAGGGGACCCAGGAGCCCGGGGCAGTCATGACTCCCAGCGATGATGAGGGAAGGAGATCCCAGCCTGGGGGAGGGGGTGAATAGAAGGGAAAGTGTGTCGGTAGTTACAGG